AATGAGAAATTAGCAGAAGAGAACACTTTTGGTGATAAAAGCTATGAAAGCGATTGTAACAGCTCGGAAAAGAATGAAAACCCTGTTAAAACGGCATTTAGAAGATAAATAGATGTAATTTCAATATTGTCATCAACTAATCGTATTTACATATCCGAGTTAAAAAAAAACACCATCACAATGACCTTCTAACATAACAACTGCACGAAATACTAATTTCCCGACCCCTCCACTACCCCTTGATGCCTTTAAGTTACCCAAAATGGGTAATTCCACCCCCTATAAGAACCACTGCCCTAAGGTATCACCATATGCAAATGTGATACAAAACTTGAAAATATGAAGTGAACACTGCATCAGTGATATATTTCATTCAATGAGAAATCATTTTTAAAGAGTTTCAATTCAAGCTAAACACTTACTCAACGAACGGACATGTAAGAGACTGCCTGAAGAGAATATCGATAATCTGAATCGGCGTCAGAATGCGTTCATCTAAATTATTCGTTCTCGTACGACGCAAATCAATGAGTACCGGACCGACGCATTGTAATGTGACCGCACAGTGCGTATGCTCACGAGAATCCTTCACCAGCGATACGTCGCTCTCGAGTCTTATCTGGAGAACACAAAAACGCTCATTGATGAGAAGCTGAACAAAATTTCCAATCCTATAAAATGACACAGTAGATAACTGGAGGATTGATAATGTTTCGTTGATTAATCCTATCATCACAATTTTTACAAATCCATGCAACGAAATTAGCGGTAAACTTCATGTTAGAGTGGATGTACACAGCGATGTGAAAGATATAATATGGATATTAACACCGACCTAGAACCTGGACACTATTGCAGAAGACTGTGGAAATAGATCAACTTTACGAATGCAAAATCACTAACTAAGATAAATTTAGACACATATTTTAAGATGGTTATGCTGAATAAAGTTCATGAGATTTATAGCAAATATTTCAGAAGGCTGATCATGAAAGTGGGAAAAAACTTATCCCATTTCTACTTCCAGTTATCAATTCGATCTGAACACAGTTAACTGACCGACTGTCGTCCATCTGGTAAATCAATTGTGGTCGGTGTGTACATTTGATGTGCTCCATCATAGGCTACAGCAAATTTATTCGGGAATATCTGTTTGTGCTCCATTACAACCTTCCAAAATACGGCACGATTTTCATCTCTGAACATTTGCAGAGGGGATTACTTCAAAAGGAACGTTTCGATGCTCAAAATATCAGCAACATTACTGCTATTGTTCATGAGAGGAATGTGATCACATGGAAATACGAATTATCATAGTGTAGAAATACGCAGACGAAGATAGAACATCGAATTATCATCAGAAAAGGATCATGCCCTTTTTCGTTGAGTATGATTCATGTTACGAAAGAGTGGCTGTTGGCCAGAGGGATTTCATAATCATCATGAAAGTAGCATGTGCTGCATTAAAACGGATATGGCCGATCTTTAATATACGTACCATTCTACATGCATCTCATCTCTGTATATATCATCGTTCTATATATCTCTTGAATCCGGTAACGAAATGATCACATAGATCACAGTGAGTGACTATATGAAGTATATTATACCTATCAAGGCGTCTAGATCCAGGATGATGGATATCGACATGGTATTGGATGACCATCATACCACGATTGGCAATACTGACTTCGAAGAAATTCGAACGAATCGGGATGGGACGACCTGCGTGACCGACGTCTGGACGAGAGGCCAGCTCGCGAAGATTCATACAAGCCAACTCCTTTAAGCCAGCTTTCGTGTAAAATGGTTCAAGCGATGTTCAACAGGTGATATGGAAATGATTGAAAGAATTGCATCAAAGAAGATGCTGTAAGATGGTTTGTATTGTTCTTAGCTCTTCGAGTGTTCTAACAGTATGAATAATAATAGTGAATGAACAGTGAATACGGTATGTAATGCGTGTTGCTTAGCCTACTTGAAGTAATGGTGGTGAGAGATCTCGCGGTGAACCGGTAAGACCTGAACCGCATCGAGACGCTGACGATGGTGAACTCTTTCGATCAGATGTGGAATTTGAAAGATGGCCCGCTGAATGGATGCCTGGAAGTGAATTGTTGAATCGACGAACTCAAATCGTCTACGTTTTGGAGCAACAGCATCAATCCGTCTCATTCAGGATATTCATCAACACAAGCCATAACCCAAGCTATTGTGATGAGACCATCATCTTTGGCACTAACAATCTACGAGAGACGATGACTCCCGAACAACCAACCGGAATCGCTTTGTTCCCTATCGCAAATTCCCATCTCGTCAA